TAAACAGAAGATTTAATGGAAATCTAAGACTTTTATTTTAAAGCGGCATAAGTAGACGCACGACGACATGTCGTTTAGGTCTATAAGATCGACAAACTGATATGGCATACAAAAATTTTGTAAAACACATATTTCAAGCTTTCCCTCATTAGGGAATTGAGATCTGAGCAAAAAGAATGTTTATAATAGTTGCTCGGCGAGAAAAGTAGTATCACAAGGGGTCTCGAAAGAGTTACCATCCTTGTTGGTCACGGTGCCAATTGGTATCGGTAAAATTTTTCAGTCAAATAAGTTATGACTACACATTTTTTTGCTATTCTGACATCTCAGAATTGCACAAACATATCTTTGAATAAAATGGGAGAGTTCCAATAGAATTATCATATGGGAATACGTAAAACAAAACAACGGCACAATGTGCGTCCAGACGGACATTAGGTGATAAAACGTAAGTCGACTTTTCATCTATTAAAATAGTGCTAAATATACTTCAAGACATGCTCTATCTGATGGCATAAAACATTTTGTTATTATACTTAATTTGTGTGAAAAAATGGCTAATCAATTCCGTTCTCGTTTTTGATGGTAGATAGACGTCTGTCTGAATAACGAGAGGAAGTGAGTGTGCTCAGTATAAATCGATTAATGAGTAAGAAACTAAACGAATCAATTGAATCACCGGAGTACAAGTTACGGAAAAAATAACGAATTGAAAACTCACCTCCGTTATCAATTGACCAGAATACTGTTGATACTTTTTTAAATCAAAATTGAAAAGACGCCAGAATTAATGAATAATACTGTGAAAACTGCATTATCCTCTGCTGAGGTTATAGTAGTATACAACAATCACTGCTAGCTTCTGATTTCGTTGAACAACTAGCCCAAGCGATTGTAGCTGATAATGCATTTGGCTCTACAATTTCTAAACTGGTTGATCTTAAAATCAGAAATTTTGTAACACAAATTGATAAACTGAAAGTGCAAATGGATCGAACTCAAGAATATATATCTCAATTTGAGACAAAATTAAACGACATCGAACAGTATGGGAAACGGAAAATTTGATTATTCACGGAATTCAATTTGAAAAAGGTGAGAACACCATAGAGATTGTAATTGGATTGCTGCTTAATTAGAACTGTCACTGTGCTTAAATTCACAGAGAATCTCTATTCGTGTCATCGACTACCTGCTAAAAGAAAAAATGATCAGCAATTAATAATCGTCGGTTTCTGATTGCCAACAGCTTTACTCTCAAGGGAAAAGCCTTAGTGAAAGACGGGATAAGTCGCCTGTTATTATTAATGAAACATTTAATGGCGCTAATTAATAACGGGTGCGGCATAAAGAATGTCACCATTTTTATTTTTCGGATAGCTCGGTTGGATTTCATCGTAGAAAGTTGAGCTTAGTCTCAAACGATTCCTCGTTAAATTGTCGACCAGAATATGTAAAAATCTTCCCTTCAAAGTTTAAATGAGAAAATTCGGACAAATAATACTAAGAAGCTTCAACGTGACTAAGTTTCCCGTCTAAAAAGCATCTTTTCCCTTTTTATTCGTTGGCACTTCAAGGCATAAAGAAAACTAATCAGCCATTTTGAAGCGCTCAACAAGCTCTACCTTTTACCTGTAAACTAAAAAGTTCCACATAAAAATCTGGCTTGTAAAAGAACGCTGCCTTTTTTAGATTTTGGCACCAAATCACGCTTTTGGAACAGCTGCTTTCGGGCAGTCAGACAACTTTGCATAAGTTGACCAGAAAGTCAACTTTGAAACTGTTTTAGCTTTATGTTGAAGAGTAATGCACGGCAAATCACATAAATCGTCGGACTTCAAATCCCTTTTCATATTCTAATAAAAGAAGCGAAATAATCCAACTTTCAGACATTTTCGGCTGAAATACAATAAGTCAGTTTTTCAGTCGGAATAGTTGCTCGAAACTGACTTTATTGTACACTGGTAGCAAGAGGGCACTTGATTGTACTCGCAAAATTCTACTGATGCGTTTCCGCATTAATATTTATACTATCATATAAAATATTTTCAAACTGAGAAACCTCTGGAAAACTTAGTCACGTTGAAGCTTCTTAGTATTATTTGTCCGAATTTTCTCATTTGAACTTTGGAGGGAAGATTGTTACATATTCTGGTCGACAATTTAACGAGGAATCGTTTGAGACCAACGAGGGAACACATGTAACTGACCAATCGTTTTTATTGCAAAACACTTTAAAAACCCCCAAAACTAGTTTTTTATAGGTTTCTCGATGTGCTCTACAATCGAGACAGATCAGAAAAAAGTTTCTGGCTCTGGAAACCTGGTTTCCCAGAAATCCGGTACTCACAAGGACTAGCGACCCGTCTCATGCCGATATTCGGATTCAGCACTATTTTTCACCTATACTCCACTAGATTTCATTAAAAAAACGGTTGGTCAGTTACATAGAGGCTGCCCGTAAAGTCCTTAAAGTTAGAAAATGTTCAACGTTTTCCACCAAAGCTACGTTGACTAATTTGAAAGTTTCCAGCTTCTCATGCCAAATATCCTAAATATTCCAAACATCCCAAATATCCTAAATATTCCAAACATCCCAAATATCCTAAATATCCTATGTATCCTGAATTTCCTATGTGTCTGGGATATTTAGGATATTTGGGATATATAGGATGTTTAGGATATGAAGCATATATAGGATATTTAGGATATTTACAATATGAAGGTTATTTAGGATATCCAGTATAATCAGGGTATTTAGGATATATAGGATACGAAGGATATTTAGGATATGCACGATATTTAGGATACTTATCTGTTTAGAATATTTCGCATATATAGGATATTTGGGATATTTAGGATATTTAAGATATATAGGATATTTAGGATATACAGGATATTTAGGATATACAGGATATTTAGGATATGAAGGATTTATACGATATTTAGGATATTTAGGATATTGGGGGTATTTAGGATGCATAGGATTTGTATGATATCCTGGATATATAGGACATTTAGGTTATTTACGATATCCAGAATATATAGGGTATTTAGGATATAAAGGATATTTAGGATATTTAGGATATTGGGGGTATTTAGGATGCATAGGTTTTGTATGATATCCTGGATATATAGGACATTTAGGTTATTTACGATATCCAGAATATATAGGGTATTCAATATATATAGGATATTCAGTATATTTAGGATGTGAAGGATATTTACGATATGAAGGATATTTAGAATATATAGGATGTTTAGGATATTTAAGATATTTAAGATATTTAAGATATATTTATTTTTCAAAGTTTAAACATTGGAATAATTACTTCTGTCTTTGATCTATCTTATCCTGAAATAGCATTTTCAGAAATTAAGTTGAACGTTAGAGACACACAGCTGAAAAAAATTAAAACTATCTGAAAAGAATTATTCATCTATGAGCTCCATTTTAATGAAAAGATCATTTCGATTGAACTGAAATTGCTACGGAAAAAAAGAATCTACTAGGCTAAAATTGAGTATCAAAAATGCATCATTCTGTATTTTGTAAACGCTACAAACAGCTAAAGTCCAATCGAGCTCAACCTTTCGCTAAATATTCCTCTATGTGGGCTATACCATTGGCCATAGCGCCGATTAGCGCCAGTGAGTCTGCATTGTGCTGGCGATTTTTCAAAAGCCATGGTCTTGGGAGTTCCAGGCCTGGCACTCAGTGGCTATTGGTAGCCTTGAAAACGGATGGACTATAGAGAATCGGTCATGCTGAGACTTGTGGCAATATTTATTTTTAAAAAAAGTTCTAAAAATCCACCACAGAGGGAGTTTTAGGAAAATTTGCGTTTTCCGGCTGTTTTCACCTAATATTAAAAAATTCACTAATCTTCACTCAAAAAATATCAGAACGAGTTCAAAACTTCAGAATGTAGGGCATTTAAGCTATGCTATATCCTATTCATAGGAGATCTTGAACGAAATTTTACAAAGCCCTAAGGTTTTCCAAAAGGATTTCTGGAAAACCTATTAACAAAAATATGCTTTTCGATTGTTTTTCGATCTTATAACCACATTTAGCGGACAATATTAATCATATTCTGAGGTTTTGAGCTTGTTCTGATGTTTTCTGAGAGGATGGTGAATTTCGTAATATTAGACGAAAACAGCCTGAAACCCCTAGTTTTCGTAAAACTTGCTTTTCGGTAGATTTTTAAAATTTTTTCTAAAAGCAAATATTCTCACGAGACTCAGCACGATTGATTATCCATATTCCATCCGTCTTCAAGGCTACCAATAGTCACCTGGCGCCAGTCCTGGGACCTGTAGAAAATCCGACACAACGCCGGAACCGCGAAAAATCAAGGTCTCGCTTTACTCCCGTTTTGAAGAAAACACCCCTGGTTATCTATCAATCCATGAAAAGAAAGTAATACAATCTTGTTAGAAAATGTTTACAGACGGCCTAGTTTTCCAAAGATCTCCTAGTAAACCTGCTTCAGAAAACTCTTCTGAAAATAGTTTTGATTATGAAAACATGGCTCCAAGTCTCATCTTTCGAATGGCGAAAATCGGCGCTCTCTAGTTCTTTTCTATCAAAAGTTATTACTGAATTAATAGCACATGTCCGCCTGCTCTAGCCAAAACTGCCCACTGTGTTTAGGTCGGTCAGTTACCATCGTACAATTATCAATTTATGGTTATTAAGCTCAATTACCTATCCTAATATCAAGATGTCTGTCTCGAAGGGAATATCATTCTCGTTCGGATACCATCCCGTTTACGGTATATGGAACAGTGAAATTCTCATTTTTTTGAAAAACATCACCTGACTGGAACCTCTTACTATGTGAGCCTCTAGTAACAGCTTCTTATCTTCCACATTATGAAAATGGCCTGCATCGTCTACTGACTTGTTAGCACTTTTTTATATTCAAATATGCATTTTTTGTTCTATTTGTGAGTTAAGTTATGATCCAATTGGCTTACAGGTTGAAATAGTCATGCATAAACCAGACACAATTATTGTTGGTTCCAATATTGTTAGTGCGGAAACACTTCAAAAATGGCGAAATACAATGAAGCGTTACCAAGTATTATTCGTCGTGGTTCAAGTATGTCTGGTATCAATATAGAAATGGCTAACATTTTAAATATCAGTCATTATCGAACACTAAGTGTCAATGCACCAACATCATTGAAAAATTAAGTTGTAGTAATGATAAGAGAGAAAATATATTATCGCCTGTTATTGGATGTGGTGCAATCAGAAAGCGTGTTATTCAAAGATTAATTCATGAAGGGCACACGGTTATTGTTTATGATCCATCGTTAGCCAATTGTTCGTCTCGAGTAGAGCCAGAAAATGTTGCTAGATCGAAAGGAATATTCTGTCATGAAGGAACCCATTTTGTTACTTCACCCGAAGAAGCTGTTAAAAATGTTTATTACGTTGCTTTTGCTATTGATGCTGTAAGTGTGGTGACAACCGGTGGCTGGCCGAGACCCAAAAGTTTGGTATGGCAATAAGTCTGGGAAAGTTTTTGCTTGCAAAAAAATGCTCTGTTTAGGACGTTTTTTTTGCTAGTCTTGAGCGAGTTTCAATTGCCATACAACTTTTTATTGGTATGGCAATTCCGCAACTGCTCCACTGTCGGCCCGCCACTGGTGACAACCGGTAGATATTTGACAAAAGAGGTTGTATTAAGTATGAGTCATGGTACACGAATTCTAAAAGTATCAGAATTTCATGTCTTTACTGATAAAGCAAAGTCCTGTTTTTTAAATCGTTCAAAACAAAGTGAGTTATCAATATTATTTGATAGTCATTATCGTGGCGTGAACCAAGTTCGTCGTTCAAAATGTTTTCATCTTTCTAATTCTATTATCGGTGGTATTTGGTCTACGAATTCAAAACCGTCAAAAGCACAAATGCAGGAAATAATGAAATTGATTGTTGATCAGTTATTGAAATTGAAGAACAAATTTACACCATACATGTTGCGAATAGACTAGAAGAAATGTGTTTAAAAACATTTTTATTGTGTACATCTGCCGATAAACCTGCTGCGACTGTTATGTCAGTCGTCACTGACATTCTTTCCTCTTCCTCTTTTCTGTTCTGATGACAACAAAGAATGTTGACTGAGTCAACATTCTTTCTTCATCTGTTTTCATCTCTCATAACCACGAAGAATGTTGACTCAGTTCTGGTTGAGTCAACATTCTTTCTTAATATATATATACAGTGTTTGTTTGTACAGAGGGGAAGTTTTTGGTTTTAACGTTTTATGATTTTATTCTTACGAATAAAGTATGTGCGGGCTAACAGCGACACTTATTCAAAACACCACCGAATCTGAAGACCACCTGGTCTTCTATTTTGTCTCTCAAGTCAAGTTCTAATAATAAAAAAAGCAAGCAAAAAAAGCTTGCAAAGCTAAGCAAAAATGACTAATTTAAAACCCTATCGTCTCAATCAATCGTCCACTGTCCATGTTGAGCAGAATGAGATAACAGTGAAAAAACCAATATACATTGAATATGTTGATAATTGTGAGATTCTTTGAAAAATGAGTCGTGAATTCCTGTTCTTGATAAATCTAATTTCTGAAGCCTCTTAACATGGTAATTGTGGTAAGCTGTCATTTAAATACTCGAGAAAAGAGAAAACTTTTAGAGGTTCATACCAGAGGCGTCTATCCCCACTTAAGCAAATGCGGCATAATGTCCCACTTCCTACTTGTAATCTCAAAAAAAATAGTCTGTTCGATGCAGCATTTCATTGTCTATCGAACGAAGCTATTTTCAATATCTGTTATGGTTGAAGAAATCTTGAAAAAAGCTCAAAATCTTGTTATTTATCAATCATTGTGCACATGAAGTAAGTTTTTTTCTTGTTCTTGTGGTTATATCTTATGTAGTTTTCGCTCTGAATAAAGCATTCAGTATGTCACCGAACATCACGAACGTTTCTAATAAATAGCAGATAGAATTCTACCTGTTGCGAACATCAAGCGATAGATTTCGAGTTATTTTATTGGTTTTCGCTTGATTAATTTCAGCATGTGTAGCATTTACAAACGCTGTTAACATCGTTGATTTTCTTATCATTGTAATTAGTTGCCGACATTTGAACAGTACTTCTCCAACTGTTTCTTCCACACCTACAGTCGACACATCCTGAATAACACCTTCAACCAAATTGTCATTTGTTTCGTCTTCTTTTCCATCCTCCGAACCCAAAGTTTCGTTGTCTGTTTCCATTTTTTTAATGTCGCATTCATTTTAAAATTAAATTTTTATCACTGTTCACGGTTCTGTAAACTACTATGAATTTCAAAACAGTAGATGACTGTTTGTGAATAACATTTGAAGAAAAGTGAGCGAACACCTGTATTTTTACCAGTTTGTAGTCAAAGTCTGACCTGATGAAAAAAGCAAGCTGAAATGATATAGTACATAAGTCTTTCAAACACTAGGTTGCTCCTCAAAAATAATGAAAATCACTCAAGACCTTAAGCAACTATTTAATTTTGTCCGTTTCGCGTTAACCCATTGTTAAGACCTTGAAAATTCATTTCTTAGTCGTTGAGATCAACTCCGAAAAAATCCCTGAAAAACTATGCTGGTACTGCCAAAAAGTTTTCCAGTTACCCTCGTCATCACTCAGGTCGTCCTCAGGATTATCACTACCATTAAATGAAATTTTCTCTAATGTTTGACTAAATCTTTCTTTGTCAGTCTCCATTTCATCTTCACTTAGCATTTCATCTGAGTTGCGACCACGATTGTGTACTTTAACCCGTGTAGATTATGTTATTAGACAAATCAGAATTTTTGACGCTACACAAGTAACTTACTGACAGACACAACCTTGCTCTACGGCACGCTATTAGCTTGCCGTAGCTGGTTGTGTTCAATAATAAACGAAATCATCGCATATCAACTATAGTCCACATTTCAATGTATGATCAAAACTAAAGAACAAATTTTTTTCTTGTTTTCACAGATATACAACAGATTAAATTTTAAACATAATTCAACAGATACAAACATCGTTCAATAAAAGCACACGAACAGTGGGCTTCTTTGTCGATTTCGAAAAAGCTTTTGACAAAATTTGGCATAATGCCTCTTTGTAAATAATATCAGAAACAATACCCTACTCATTTTGGCAATATGTTGAAATCTTACTTAATAAGCAGATTATTGAAAGAAGTTTTCTAGAAATCTTTGTTACATACCATTTAAAATCCTTCTCATTGTCTTTAGACTAATATGAAAATTTTTCTTTTCCTACTATTAGATAGAGCAGTGAATTGTGTACCAAATACAATGTTGTTTTATTCAAACGAAGTGCAGGCCTTAGGTCTAAGCAACAACTCAGAAATTATAGTATTTTAGAGCTAATGTTACCAATTTTAAAATGCGAGCATGCTTTTTCCATGCAAGAAAAAAGTTTTTGACTGCGTTTGGACAAGATGAAGAAAGAAAGCAAAAGACAAAATTGGGAGTAACATAACAAATTTTGAGAGTCAGAACGTTATTTTTGTTAGGAATAGTTCTACTCTCAAAGATATGATGTGTTAACTGAAAAATATATGTTGTGGAGAAAGTACAGAATTATCGAATCTGTAGAATCGCTAAAAATTCTGCGAATCTATAGAATAGCTAGCGATTCTATAGATTCGCCAGTGATTCTATAGATTCCCTAATAAGTACAGAGAAAGTACAGAATGGGGTTTTGAAGTTCACTAGCGAATGTACAGAATTCTCAAATACTATATTTTAGACTTTTTTTCCTCCAGAAAAAGGACAGATCTCTTAAATATGGTCATTTCGAGCTCTTTCACGACATTTTGCACTAATGATGTAGTTTTGAATATACAGGATTCATCCATCAACTACGTCCTTGGAATTGTGTCACTTTATTCTTTCAAATAAGACTGTATCACACATAAAATATTCGTGTACAAAAATCAGTCATATAATCATAAATTCTTTATAAAAAGCAGAAGACAAAGCTAAAGCCCAGCAGAATGATCGTCATAGAAAACAGTAAAAACATGCAAGTTAAAAATCGCAGAAAGTATTGAGAATTACGAGTTCACTGTGAATCAATCGTTTTGTTTATTCGTACATCGTTTATTTTTTCTATGACATCGAGAGTTACACAACACCCCCGCCTTTTTACATCTACATCGATTTGTGAAACAATCGGCATTGCAACTACAGTGAACGATACCTTGGCCACCAACCAAAGATTCGTTTGCTACTATCGAGCGAAGAGGTAATTGAGTTTTATTGATATCGTCGATTGTTAAAGTCGTTTCACATTTTTCCAAATCTTGTCGA